ATATACATACATATACACACACACTTGTATTTAAACACAGTAAATATATATTACATTAAAAGCACGAAATCCTTACAAAAATATCATTCACCTTTTTTACCCTTAAAATAAAAAAATTATATTTGATAAAATTGTAATTTAAATTTTCTTTCCTAATCTTTAGGATTTTAAATCAATTAAGGTTTTGGTTATTAAATCTCTCTATATTGAATAAGGTAGGAAGTCCTAATATTTAGAATTTTAAATTAATTAAAATGTTCTATCATACAATTTCCTTCCTTATAACTACACGTATAATTATACTTGAGATTTTAGCGGTATAATTTATTTTGCCGATTTAATATCAACAATAGTGATTCAATATGGTTCAACTACGAATCTACGATACTGCTTCTTAAATTATTTCTTATTTGAATGAGCTAATATTAAAAATTTAAATCAACTAAAATAAATGATAATAATAATATTTATGTGTTGAATAAAAATTCTAATTTTGAATATAAAAACTGTAATTATTCATAAAATATGACATTTGAATATAAAAATAATATTTTTATTCTCACAGAAGTTGTCTAAAAGACTAAAACCATAATAAGGTATCTTATTACTTTTGTGAGACGAGATTTCTTCCTATATTAAGGTACCTGAATGAGATCAACATTGATATTTTTTATGATTATTTAATTTTTATTTTATAACACTAATACATTATTAATTAAGCAATTTATTAAAACTTGTATATATGCTCATTAACTAAGTAAATTTTCTTGGGTTGCTCAGATGGTAAGCACCCTCCACTTCCAACCAAGAAGTTGTGAGTTCGAGTCACCCCAAGAGCAAAGTGGGGAGTTCTAGGAGGGAAGGATGCCGAGAGTCTATTGGAAACAGCCTCTCTACCCCAGGGTAGGGGTAAGATCTGTGTACACACTATCCTCCCCAGACCCTGCTAGCTAGTGGGATTATACTGGGTTGTTGTTGTTGTTGTTGTTGTTGTTGTTGTAACTAAGTAAATTTTCTAACTATTAACAAAAGAGAATAAGCACACAGAAGCCCGCTAGCTAGTGGGATTATACTTGATTGTTGTTGTTGTTGTAACTAAGTAAATTTTCTAACTATTAACAAAAGAGAATAAGCACACAGAAGCCCGCTAGCTAGTGGGATTATACTTGATTGTTGTTGTTGTTGTAACTAAGTAAATTTTCTAACTATTAACAAAAGAGAATAAGCACACAGAAGTTCAATATGCTTGCTTGGCATATTTGAGGGTCATCAAACTCTAATTTAGTATGAGTCTCCATTTGTAGTCTAGATTTTATTTGATTTAAACATCCTCGTCTTTTATTGACAGAATAAATAAGAACAATAAGTTTTTTTTAAGGATTTGGGTATATAATGCCAATTGTTTAGGGCTGTTTTTTCCAAACTTAATATAATGCTAAGTCCAATTAACTCTTATATGTTGTCATTTTCTCATTTGGAATAATTCTCCCAAAAAAATGGGCTTGTAGGGACAAAAGTTGATCTATAAATACTTTTGCAATTTTGAAGTGTGGAAATGGGCCAAATTAATGTTGCGTATAGTTTAGAACAGTAGCCAAGTAGTTTAAAATTGTATGGTTGTTATCATAGGATTACCCTTTTGGTTTTCTTGTCAATGTTTTTGGTTTGTTACGAAAAGACTAATCAGACAATGAAAATTTATACATGTTCTTGTTCTATTTAATATTCTAATTTTTTTTTTCTAAGTACCTGTAAATGGCTTTTGACATGAGCTAGAGTAAGATCTTTCACATCCATTAGCTCCAATACTGACTTTGGTGTTGCCCCTAAAAATCAAGAACACAAAAATAAAATCAAAGATTAGACCTTTTTCATCATTTCCCACCTCAAAAATATTGAAATTATAGCATATAGAGGACAGAGAAAAAGCAGATAGCGTCACTTTTAATGGCGCTATATAGGTCATGGCAGCTTTTTGTATACCGCCAGAAAAAGTGACGCGCCACTATTTCTGGAGTTATATATAATTTGGTAATTTTTTTTTTTATATTTATTTACGTATTTTGAGTCCAAAAAAATCACATTTTGGTTCCGGACTCAAGATAAGCATATTGACAATGTCTATCAAACTTCTGACATGGTTTATACTTTGAGCAAATTATCCAGTAAATAACAATTTATTCTGGGATTAGTTGCCTTTAGTTGAGAAGTGATTTGTACCTAAATGTTCACTCGAAAAACAGGTCTTTTTCATTCTCTTTTGGTTACTAGTCTAGTTGAGAACCATGACAATACATAAATCATCAATTAAACCCCAGTCAAGTGGTCCCCATAGTCTCTTGTCTAAATGTGAGCTAAAATCATAGTACTACCATATACTGTATCCTAATTCAAGAATTAATTTCCAGTTTACTTCTTTAAAGAACTAAAAAATAGACATATATGGGTTTAATATACCTAAATATCCAAGCCATTATCAAAGTCATGGCAGTGGAAAAGGTTGGTGTTGTATTTTTCAAGCCGAGCGAGAAGAAAATCTGGCCGTTGACTGACCTGTTGGTCAAGAGAAAAATGTTAATTAAATACTGACTGTATGGGGAAATTAATAAAATTTTATGTTTGAGACTTACTCTATTATGCTAAGACATACAATCCTAGCAAATATTGCTAGAGTCATTCTTGGTCTTTTGTTCCTGTAAAAACATATTTAGCTTGTTTGTTAGTTTTTTTGTCCTCAAAAAAAGAGTGTTGGAAGAAAGAAGAGGGGATAACAAGAGTGCTGGAAGAAGAAGAGGAGATAAAAGAGTGCTGGAAGCAATGGCAGATTTA